ATATTTTATGGTGTTTTGGGTAAAAATTTACAGAGCAGATTAGTTTCTACTTCCACGAATTGTGCGGAGTGTGTTCCGTGACGTTGGTTGTGATCCCCACACTGTGTCGGCACTCTCCTCATTTCTGGTTTCCTTCCATCTGGTTTCTCTACCTTCTCATCTGTGCATTTGGGCAGATGTTGCCCCTGTGGTCTTGTATAATTGTTTGTTTACAGAGCACGTTCTTCTCAGGTGTTGTTATTTATTTTATAGGCCCGTTTACTGCTTGATTGGAAGGTGGTTTCCGGGAACGGCTGCCGTTTCAAGTCAGAGGGGTGTCATAGAGCCATAGTATCAGGGGTTCCTCCAGTCTCTATAGGCCAGTAAATCTGGTCTTTTTTTTATGAATTTGATTTTTTGTTCTACATTTTTCTACCACTCTGACGAGGACCCTCTATTGTGATCCCGGTTGGAGTGGTCGGTAGTGATAGCTGGCCACCATCTAGTTCTTCTGGTCTTGGGGTCATGTAGGCTGTGGTATATGTGGTCCGTTAGCCCTTTGGACTGATTGCACCCTTGAGTCTTTGGTTTTCTTCACTCTCCTTTACTCTGGGTGGGAAGAGACCACTAGTTGTAGTTGTATCTTAGATGATTGCTCACAAGCTTTTAAGACCCCAGACGTTACTCACCAAAGTAGGATGGAGAACATTATTTTTATGCACTGTTACGCCAATTGATGTAATGTCCCCCGAGTCTATGGTCCTTATCCTTCAAGCCTAGTATCTTCATCCCGGGAGGTGTTTGGTTGTACGTAAGAAATTTCCATGACTGTGCCCCTTGTGTGTTCTATTGTCTATATTAGTATACATGCAACATCTGTAGATACGTATATAGAGATACCCACAACCTAACCTGTATCTGCAGGTGGCTGTGCTCCCTTACACCCTCCCGCCTCTTTACCATACCTGTCTTCCTGTGTATCCCTTTGTAAATTATTTTTGTTCATACTGTTGTTGCAGGATTGTCTATGTTATAGTAATTGCGATAGTTGCTCTTTGTTCTTGTGTTCCTCTTAGTGTCTTCCTTTGCCTTGGTCATGTTGTGCTGTCTTCCCCCATATAGTGTATTGCCCTTCCCTTCACCAGGAGTATTACCACATGTCTTCTATCTATTTACTAATTTACCCTCCCTCCCCCTCCCTTCCTTGTAACATCAAAGAATGTTTTGTTCTGTGTGTAAACCTTGTTCTTTTTTTTTTTTTAAAATAATATTAGTCTCATATAATATTTGTCCTTTAGTGATTGGCTTATTTCACTCAGCATAATGTCCTCCAGATTCATCCATGTAGTGAGATGTTTTGCTTATTCGTCGTTATTTGTTATCATTGCATAGTATTCCATTGTGTGTATGTACCACAGTTTTGTTTATCCATGCATCCATTGATGGGCACTTAGGTTGTTTCCATCTTTTTTCTGTTGTAAATAATGCTGCAATGACATGGGTGTGCATATGTCTATTCGTGTCACGGCTCTTATTTCTCTAGGGTATATACCTAGGAGTGGGATAGCTGCATCATATGGTATTTCTATTTCTAGCTTTTTAAGGAAGCACCATACCATTTTCCATAGTGGTTGTACCATTTTACATTCCTACCAGCAGTGTATAAGAGTTCCAACATCCCTACAACCTTGCCAGCATTTGTTATTTTCTTTTTTTTTTGATTAGTGCCATTGATGTTGAGGTGAGATGGTATCTCATTGTAGTTTTAATTTGCATCTCTCTAATGCCTAATGATTGCGAGCATTTCTTCATGTGTTTGTTAGATGCCTAAATGTCTTCTTTAGAGAAGTGTCTGTTCATGTCCTTTGCCCATTTTTCAGTTAGATTATCTTTTTGTTGTTGAGGTGTTGAAGTTTTCTATAAATTTTAGAGATTAACCCCTTGTCGAATATGTCATAGCCAAAATTTTTTTCCCAGTCTTTAGACTCTCTTTTTACTCTTTTGGATGTTTAATATTTAGGAGGTTCCATTTAGCTAGTTTATCTTCTTCTGTTTGTGCATCTTTAGTTAGGATTGTTACGCTATTTATGCCATGTATTAGGGCCCCTAGGGTTGTCTCTGTTTTTTTCTTCCATGCTCTTTATAGTTGTAGGTTTTATATTTAGGTCTTTGATCCGTTTTGAGTTAGTTTTTGTGTATGGTATAAGGAATGGTTCCTGTTTCATTATTCTATATATGGATACCCAGTTTTGCCAGTATCATTTGTTAAAGAGACTGTCTCTTCCCCATTTAATGGACTTGGCCCTTTGTTGAAGACCAGTTGTCCACAGGTGGACAGATTTACTTCTGGGTTCTTAGCGCTGTTCTATTGGCCTACGTGTCTGTCATTGTACCAGTACCAGAATTTTTGTGTCTGTATTCATGAGGGATATTGACCTGTAATTTCTTCTAGGTGGTATCTTTGCCTGGCTTTGGTATCAGCGTTGTGCTGGCTTCATAGAATGAGTTTGGGAGAATTCCTTCCTTTTCTATGCTCTGAAATAGTTTGAGTAATATTGATGTAAGCTCTTCTCTGAAGGTTTGGTAGAATTATCCAGTGTGTTCATCCTGGCCAGAGCTTTTTTTAGTTTGGAGTTTTTAAAATTACCTCATCAATTTCTTCTTTTGTTGTAGGCCTGTTCAGACTTTCTAGTTCAGTTTGTGTTAGTTTAGGTGTGGTGACCTGATTCTTGATAATTATGTAAATAAAATTAGTTTAGCCTTCAGGATTTTGTTTTTAATTATACTTTAATAGTTTCTCAAATCAAATCTTAATTTTTTATAGCCTGTATTATTTAAAATTTATTACCCCAATGTGATCAATGTTTAAAGTTTCCAATATATTAAGTAAAAATGTTGCCCAGATCATTCCGGTAATATCATAAGGGTCAAAATTCTTTCTCTGATGCTTTGCGTTGTATACTAGGTTGCCAAAAAGGTAATAGAATCCTCTCTTAGCAATGGTATCTGGCTAATCAAAATAAAATCTATCCTACTGCAAGGAATAGTAATATTCTTAGTCTACATCCTGATAGTATTAGGCATTATAAAATTTATCCTCTATTGTCTTACACACGTAAAAGGCAAAAGAAGGCCTCAGGCTAAAATGTTGATGTACATTGAGTCTGCTCACTCTGGCAATGCCTTTGATGGGAACATCGCTCTTACTTAATAACCTGGTGAATAATCAGGTGGTATCCGGTGGAAAACCAGCACCATGAATTTAAAGAGCCTGCTATGGCTGCCATCTAGGAGCTCAGCTAAGTCCAGGTATTGATCATTGATGTGTTATCTACAATCCCTGATCAAAAGGAGGGACTGATTTAGGAAATAATATTGGAGTTACTGTTTCCTCTCCTTGAGCATACAGAATGTGACCCAGCTGAAGCTGGGCTCACGAGGGCTTACAAGGATTCACAAGGACATATCAACTGGGCCCTGAGGTATAAAGACAATAGCTAAGATAATCTTAGAAAATCCTATCTTTTAGGGAAACTTTCACATAAAGCCGATCAAACAGAACACAAAAGACTTTCCACTCTTATCTTTTTCTGTTAACATTTAGTGAATAGAAATTTTTTGGACCAATGAAGACCCTCCTGACTTTCGTTACTAAAACCCGTACCAATGATTGTTAAGAAAGATGATTCAAAATGTAAGATTACAATTTCTAGCCGATCAGTGAAGAAGTGACGCTTTCAATGATTGTACCCATTTTGTGATGTTGATATATACTGATGAGTCTGTAACCTTCTTTGGACTCGGGCAGACATGGCTATGACAGCATGCTTGTCCTTTTTCCCACTTTTGTCGGTTCTGTGATATTTGTTGGACTCGGGCAGACATGGCTCTGGCAGCATGGTTGTCCGATTCCCACTTTTGCCCTTTTGAATATATGCCGAATAAAACTTTCTTTTGCTTTAAGAAATGAAATAAAATAAAATCTATATTCCAGACTCTTTATAAGAGAGTTTGGCTTTGAGTATAATTAAAGAGTTTATTACTTGATACCTATTAAAATCAGGAAATCATGAGGTGCAACTGTTTTTCATATATAGTGGAGGATAATTTTCTTCACTATAAGTAAGGAGAGGCTAAAGTAAGCTTGCAAGTATAAAATTCTAAGTGCACCTATATAAGAGCTGAACTAGAATTTAACTACTGACAGTTACGCATTTGTCAAAGCATCTTCCATTTCTTAACTTATAATATTAAATTTTTTAAGGAACTCCAACTAATAATACATTAAAATATATTATTGCCTTTGTGTTTCTTGGGTAATGATGACGGGAAATGAAGGGCCAACTTATTTTTTTTATTTATTTATAATTTTACTTGCTTTACAATATGAAAAAATGCTTTATTTCAACCAAAAAGTTATGGGAAATATCTCGAGTTACGAGAAATCCCTTTGTTTCATAAAAATTTGAATTTGGGGGGAAAAGTTTACAGTTTGGACCAAAAAAAGCGTAAGAAGTTAAAGGAAATGTGTGCTTGCTCAGGTGTTCCTGGAGCATTGGCACAGAAATAGGTACAGCGCCAGCTTCTTCACTGTTGGCAGTTTTTACATCCCAAACCATTGGAAAGTGGCTGCCAGTTTGCCACTTTGTTTTAATCATACTTTATGTCTTTAGCAGGAATGTAAACTAAACCGATACTTGAAGCATTAAAGCAGTGTGTTTAGAAGTACTAGATTTTAGAAAACTAACATATTTATTTGGGGGAAAATACATTAAGTTTTTACTTGGGTTCTATTTGATGAAGATATTTTTTTTCCATTTGACTTCATGTTGTAAACCCCTGACCCTAGTTAATAGATGAATTGTGCATAATATTTGCCATCTGTAGGTTAATATAAATATACACCTGTTGTTTAAAACGTTCAGTGGATCAGTTTCTTATTTACAAATGTAAAAACGATACTTAAATATCTCAGATCGTTGGCTAGCAGATGAGCTTATACGTGTCTGATTTTCTTCCAGATTCATGAAAAACTGCACTACTACGAGAAGCAGAGCCCGGCTCCAGTCCTGCAGGGCGCAGTGGCCTTGGCAGATGATGTAAGTGTGCCTGTCTGAGCTCAGCGGGCCATGTCCTCCTTAGACCTGTCCACAGGCAGACTGCATCCTATCACGGAGGTGGGGTGTAATCCTCAGAGTGAGAACCAGAAGAACTTGCAAATGTTCCAAAAGTCCTGTCATCACTGAGCCTATGCTGGTATTATTTTGCTCTTCATTGACTTTCCTGTTCTGAAAATTCTGCATGTAGCTTCCCTTTCGTTCTGTGTTGGTAACTATTTCATAGACATTTTAGGCTGCAGCTCCGTGGGGAGGGAGAAGCTGTCAGCTGTTAATGTTTCTAGAAAATCACCGACAGGAACGCTTCGGAGAAATACGGACAAACGGGATAGCTGCTTTGCTGACAGTACTAAAAAATGGCAGATAGTAGTCTAGGCGCGGGACTTAGGAAATACGTAAAAGACGGGATTGTGTTTTCAAATGGCTTATAAAACACAGTAATGATTGATGGATATTAGACCTTTCCAAATTACCTTCATAACCAAAAAGTGAATTTTAGGAGTCGTTGGCCTTGATGGAGTAGTTAATTTCCTGTCGCTATAATTTTGTTTTAAATGTGGGGGAGGGGAACCAACTTGCTGTTTCAGACTTGGACGAGTCGGCGGCGCCACCTGGATACTAAGTGGGACTGAAGATACCTTTAGTGTGAAGGCGCGTGTTCTTGGTGTCCTGTAGCTTGTTTGTTGATTTTAACATTTTTCCCCTTTATTTTGATAAAACAAACTGCAACACAGTTTAGTAAAATATCAGGGCCTTGAATATGATAAAGAAAAATTGGCCATATTCAGAAGTTGATTTTATTTGTATTCTATTCAGATTTAGAAAATAAAGCATATGTAATAAATATGCAAACTGTATGCTCTTTGTTTAGCCCCTAAGCATTTCCCTTCAAGTTTTATCTGTAGACACTACAAGAATGTTTAATACGTGTGTTGTGGGGAAGCTTACCCCTCTGCATTATACAACTGAAACTTTTGAAATGAAGGTGATTGAAGGTGGATATAGTTCCACTGGTAAGCTGCAGTTACCACTTGAGAAAGCCTTAAAAAATTTTTTCAAACATTTACTGTTAAGATTTTGGAAAACATTTGCTTATAAACCAATTTAATTGACACCCATCATATTACAAAAATACTGCCTTTTGAAAACTGTTAGAGACTATATATATGTGATGAAACTTAGTATTTTTATTAGAGCAATATATTTAAATGTTAAAAATGTTGTATATAATGTGACTAAAGAGTGCAAAGAGCCTTTTGTTCTTTTTTAAGTTAAAAATTCTGTAAAATGTTACACTGAAAAAGTAAAAAGCAATTTTTGAAATGTAATTATTGAATATATAAATTTTCTCTGCTTCTACTTGTTGTATATAATTTACATTATGCCCTTCTTTTAGAGAAAAGTCCATTTCCAGAGATAAGAACAGTTAGAAACAATAGGCAAAACCAGAAATTTGATACAATGTTTATTAATAAAAAGGGTTTTTTAATAAAAGTGCATTTATATATTTTGAATTGTATATGGTATATTTCATTGTTCTGATCTTTTTTTTCTGTTTGAGGCTTGGTTTTCTTCTTATGAAAATTATGTACTCCTTCCTATAATCTAAAATTAAGTAGAAATTCCCATAGGAAGATCTTTTGCTAGAGAACTGAGGCAGATCCAAAGTTCTAACCTTTTTTTTTTAGCTAGAACCATCAAACGGGATTCTTGATCATTGTAGGGACAGTCAGTGTTTTTTGTACCCAAGTAGTTGTCAGCCTATTATAAGTCATTTTATGATTAACTTGGTTTATATTTAACAGACTGCTTACTCTATAGATAAGTGTAATAAAAGTTTCAGACCATTTGCTCTATTAGGGGCATTCTAGTTCTTTTTACCCCAGCCCTAAACAGCACAGCTACTGTGGGTTTTTGGAAATGCTGTGAATTTCACCACCTCATTCAGAAGCTTTTTTTTTCTTTTTTATGGCATAAAAGCTTGATCCAGTTCTTTTACAAGTGGTCCTTTGTCTGCATGCAAAAGACTGTCCACGTAAATGAACTACTGGGCTTTGCCCCCATTGCCAATGATGTGGCTGATATGATTCCTTGAGCTGTACTCAGCCTGGGCATGGCTTTGGACTATAAGACCTAAGAAGAAGAGCCGTGATTGATAGCCTATTTTTTTCATGCTGACTTCTCTTTAAATACTGGAAAGTAATAGCCTTGAATGAGATAGATTCTCAAGTTGTCACATGTCGAGTAAAACAATGTTCTTACTAAATATTCCTTATGTCAATGTCATCTCCCTTGCAGCTGGCCGAAGAGCTTCAGAGCAAGCCATTAAATAGTGAAATCAAAGAGCTGTTGCAACTACTGTCAAAACCCAGTGTGAAGGTGAGGACACGTTATGCCTGTAATAAACATGTTCCAAAAGGGCCACTTTTCTAAAACTTCAGAAGAATTTTGTTCCGAGCATTAATTTTCAAGTAAATGTACTTTCAAATAGTGTACAGTATTTTAAGAGCCTAAATCCTATTAAAGAGAAAGAGTTGAGCTTTTGATTATAATGTTATGACAAATAGCAAAAACCTTAATGGGAAGCTCAGAATTGAATTTGGCAAATACAATGTAGTTTCAAGGTCATTTTCCTTTTAAGTGAAGTTAAGAGAACAGAATACACAGCCTTCCAGTGGTTTTGTTTAGGTTCACGTTACTGGGCCTGTTAATGGTATTCCAATATATTTGACAAATGTATCTAATTTTCTGTAGGACCATTTCAGCATTCCTTTTCCTCTTACTGCTTCCTCTTTTCATCTTTTGTCCCTTATTAATTAATGTTTCAAAATACCATATTATTTTACAGTGTAGAGCAGGTTTTCAGTGTTAAATATCAGTAAAATATTGGCAGACAGATTTCAATTCTCCACTGCCCTTTTTCTCCCAAATTTATCACTTATTCCTCCAAATGTGATTAGTCTGTGGAGCCCTGGTAGCACAGTGGTTGAGTTTGGCTGCTAACTGAAAGGTTGGCAGTTCAAACCCACCAGCCACTCCATGACAGACAGATGTGGCCGTCTGCTTCTGTAAAGATTACAGCCTTGGAAACTCTGTGAGGTAGTTCTTCTCTGTCATGTAGGGTGGCTATGATGCGGAATCGACTTGATAGCAATAGGTTTTTGGTTTTGGTGATTAGTCTACAGAAAGCATTTACAGATTATCCTACAACCTATACATTTTGGACTTGACACTGCTGCAGTTATATGTAAAGTATTGTTCTCTGAGTCAAAATTAATATATAGATTACACAGTTAAAATGATCACTTACCGCATGATGATTTCTGTTAAGCATGTAGAGAATGTTGAATGAACATTTCTGTAGAGATACAAAAAGTGATTTCTGACCTCTTTGAAAAATCTCCTTTGTAACTGTGCTATATATGATCTTAAATTTATATTTAAAAAAGATAGTATTAAATAAAAGGTGTATTAGAAACATGCATGAACTCTAATTTCTTTTTTTTCCTTATTGTGCTTTAAGTGAAAGTTTACAGATCAAGTTAGTCTCGCATACAAAAATCTATACACATATTGTTATGTGATCTAGTTCTCACTATAATGTGACAGCATACTCCTCCTTTCCACCCCAGATTTCCCGTGTCCGTTCAGCCAGCTCCTGTCCCTTTCCGCTTTCTCATCTCACCTCTGAACAGGAGCTGCCCATTTAGTCTCATGTATCTATTTGAGCTAAGAAGCACTCTCTTCATGAGTATCATTTTACATCTTATAGTTCAGTCTAATCTATGTCTGAAGAGTGGGCTTCGGGAGTGGTTTCAGTTCTGGGCTAACAGAGAGTCTGGGTGCCATGTCTTCTGGGGTCCCTGCAGTCTCAGTCAGGCCATTAAGTCTGGTCTTTATACTAGAATTTGAGTTCTGCACCCTACTTTTTTCCTGCTCCATCAGGGACTCTCTGTTGTGTTGCCGGGCAGGGCGGTCATTGGTGGTAGCCAGGTACCATCTAGTTCTTCTGGTCTCAGGCTGATGAAGTCTCTGGTTTATGTGGCCTTTTTTGTCTCTTGGGCTAATATTTTCTTTGTGTCTTTGCTGTTCTTCATTCTCATTTGCTCTAGGTGGGTTGGGACCAATTGATGCATCTTAGATGGCCACTCCCTAGCTTTTAAGACCCCAGATGCCACTTACGAAATGGAATGCAGAACATTTCTTAATAAACTTTGTTATGCCAGTTGACCTAGATGTCCTCTGAAACTATGGTCCCCAGACCGCCGCCCTGCTACTCTGTCCCTCGAACTGTTTGGTCGTATTCAGGAAACGTCTTAGCTTTTGGTTTAGTCCGGTTGTGCTGACATCCCCTGTAGTGTGTGCTGTCCTTCCCTTCACCTAACATAATTTTTATATACTACGTAGTTAGTGAATACCCCTCCCCTTCCTTGCCCATCCTTGTAACCATCAAAGAATGTTTTCTTCTATGTTTAAAGCTTTTCTTGAGTTCTTATAATAGTGGTCTCACACAATATTTGTCCTTTTGCAACTGACTAATTTCACTCAGCATAATGCCTTACAGATTCATCCATGTTATGAGATGTTTCTCGAATTCATCGTTGTTTATTGTTACGTAGTATTTCATTGTGTGAATATACAGTAATTTACTTATCCATTAGTCTCTTGACAGGCACCTAGGTTGTTTCCATCTTTTTGCTATTGTGAACAGTGCTGCAGTGAACATGGGTGTGCATATATCTGTTCGTGTGACGGCTCTAATTTCTCTAGGGTATGTTCCAAGGAGTGGGATTGCTGGATCATATGATACGTCTATTTCTAGCTTTTTAAGGAAGTGCCAAGTCGATTTCCAAAGTGGTTGTACCATTTTACATTCCTGTCAGCAGTGTTTAAGTGTTACAGTCTCTACACAACATCTCCAACATTTATTATTTTGTGGTTTTTAGATTAATGCTAGCCTTATTGGGGTGATATGGTATCTCATTGTAGTTTTGATTTGCATTTCTCTAATGGCTAATGATTGTGAGCATTTCCGCATGTGTCTGTTAGCCACCTGAATGTCTTCTTTGATGAAGTGCCTGTTCATATCCTTAGCCCATTTTTTAACTGGGTTATTTGTCTTTTTGTTGTTAAGGTTTTCCAGTGTCTTGTAGATTTTAGGGATTAGATGTGGATTGGCTTTGTCATAGCCAAAATTTTTTCCTGGTCTGTAGGTTGTCTTTTTACTCTTTTGATGAAGTCTTTTGATGAGTGTAAGTGTTTGATTTTTAGGGGCTCCCAGTTATCTAGTTTCTTTTCTGGTGTTTGTGCATTGTTGATGTTTTGTATTCTGTTTATCCCATGTATTAGGGCTGATAGTATTGTCCCTACTTTTTCTTCCATTATCTTCATTGTTTTAGATTTTATATGTAGGTCTTTGATCCATTTTGAGATAGTTTTTGTGTATGGTGTGAGGTATGGGTCTTGTTTCAGTTTTTTGCAGATGGATATCCGGTTATGCCAACACCATTTGTTGGAGAAACTTGTCTTTCCCCCAGTTAATGGACTTTGGGCCTTTGTCAAATATCAGCTGCTCATAGGTGGATGAATTTACGTCTGGATTCTCAATTCTGTTCCACTGGTCTGTGTATCTGTTGTTGTACCAGTACCAGGCTGTTTTGACTACTGTGAGGGTATAATAGGTTCTATCTTTTCCCCAGTTAATGGACTTTGGGCCTTTGTCAAATATCAGCTGCTCGTAGGTGGATGAATTTACATGTGGATTCTCAATTCTGTTCCACTGGTCTGTGTATCTGTTGTTGTACCAGTACCAGGCTGTTTTGACTACTGTGAGGGTATAATAGCTTCTAAAATCAGGTAGTATGAGGCCTCCCACTT